TAGTAACTACCGTGGCTTTACTCTGAATCTCTTCATATATTATTTTCCTTTTATCTGGGATTTATACGTGCCTCTTTGAAAGGAGAGCTGGTAAACTGGTAGTATCAAGTCCGTTTGGGGAAGATTAAATTGCGGGATCCAGTATTGTGGTGTATATAAACTTGGTTATTTCTATGACTGAAGGCAAGTCTCTAAACGGTTGGGGGAAGTTCCTTCAGTGGCGAGCCAGTGACGTGTGTATAACCATTTCAGCCTAGTGAAAATAGGGCAAAAGTAGTAATTTCTTAAGCCTACATCTTCAGTCTTGTCTTATGACACTGTTTGAGGTTTGGGGCGGATCTTATGGAACGTTGTATAATACAAGTGAGCCTTGACGCATCAGTTCCTTATACAGCGACATTTTTCAATTCCTTTTTGTTTCTATCATCTTTCAGGCACTACCTGTAAATGTTGGGAAGAATCAAATGAACGTATAGGAAAGATGTAAAGTAAGCAAAACAATTGAAAATCAAATCCAACGGGAGCAAGACCAGTGGCAATAATATTGGACCTTTTTTTAGCAGATGTAGGCCAGGGGATGTTACAGGGGTGGGGGGACCTGCAAAATAATCAATGTCAATAGTAATCACCCTGTAGATAGATTATTTTGCAATTGCTTATGGTTAACACTGGTGTGTGATTGGATATCTGCATTCTCCTTGATAGAAGAATTTATCTTTGTCCCAATTCTTCTCCTTCAGTGGTACTGATCGGACACCTTTACTTTTCCTTGAGTTCAGGATGAAAGAGAGCTCAAAAGACAGAGAAGAAAGCAGTCAAACAGAGAATCAGCTCGTCGGTCCAGATTGCGAAAACAGGTCAAACAGTTATTTCCCACTTTTAAGTCGCTTAGCCTGTTAAGATTTCGTCGCTGATACTTTTTGTTTCTGTACACGGGGCTCAGGCAGAATGTGATGAACTGGCCCAGCGTGCTGAAGCTATGAAAGAAGAAAATGAGTCTCTTAGAGCAGAGGTGACTCGTATTAGGAGTGAGTATGAGCAGCTTCTTGCTCAGAATGCAGCTCTGAAGGTATTGTCTAATTCTTAGATTACTGATTGCAAAGCAAGATTTCACAAACAAACTTGTTGCGTGGATGTTTGATATCCTTTTTCTCAGATTCCACTAAAATATATAATGATAGTATTTATGTAAAATAGTTAAATAGTGTTGCACATGTTTCTATAATTCTTTTTTCAATTTTTGTACCGAGTAAATATCGTTCTGCAGGAGAGACTTGGTGAATTCCCAGAACAAGAAGATCCAAGGTCCAGTCGGGATGACCAAAGCATAGGCCATGATTCTCAGTGTTCTGGGCAAGCTGAACATATTCAAAGCGGTCAATGAGGTGGTACAAAATGAAGTACAAGGTTTAACCCTAACCGATAGTTTACATGTAAACCTATATTTACGTAGCGTGTAGTTTAAAATTAATTAAAAAACTGATTTTTAGTGTCAAAACCTGCTCAAATTTTACCCACCATTTCTCATTTCGACCAATCTTTTATGGTTGAGGAATGTGGATGGTATGTAACAGGAAATTTAAGGTGTACCCTCGTTCTGTCAAGGAAGGTACGACCTTAATCTATGTTACATTTGTGTGTACGGAATATTGTTTGTGAGAATTGCCACGGAGAGAGAATTGATAAACTTCGACTTAGAGATGACAATGGATCTATGTTTGTTAGCATCGCGTCGTTAATGTTCTGAATATTTCTTTTTATTGATTTTTTTTATGAAATGAAAAAGAAAAATTACTTGACAATAATAACAGAATCATTTAAACTAGAATAATGACATCTAGCACCAATTGTGTTTATGTGATCTTATATGATAGGTTCAATTAAAGGTGAACTTGTATGATTTATTTAATTTAACTTATAATTTAATGTTGTTATGTAGACTGATATTAAACATCAGTAACGCTAAATAGCATTACTCTTTAAAATATCAGTTAATTCTTTTTTGTTCTTGTAAAAAAGAAAACGTAAAATGGAGTTTCCAACTAGGCAAGGACCCTAACAATAGCTTCAAAACTTCAATCAAGTTTGCATGGTTAGCCTTGTCCTTGAACCACCTGAGATGGTGTACCACTTACATCCTCGTCACAAGCTCCAAATTCTTGTACTGCCTGCTCCGAAGGGTGCAAGACTTAGATCTCAGCCCCTCACGGCTACTTCAGCACGGCGCTCGGCTGCTAAAAACCTTCTTGGCTTGAATTCGGTAATAACCCACGTGTGTTGGAGCCTATGACTACCCACTATTAGGCTGGACGTTGGCCGTGGAAAGCCTTGCACCCCCGACCCAGTCGTAGCCTTGGCAAGGCTTTCCACAGCGAATCGTCCAATCTATAATGGGTGGTCATCGGTGGGGGGCCCCCAAGGTTGGGGTTCAACCTTATAATGGGTGGTCATACCCGCCAAAACCGCACACGACTTGACGAGTTCAAGCCAAGAATGGGATGGTGATACCTGCTGCACCACCTTTATTTATATTAATTTTTCGATAACATAGAATGCATTTGTGCTGCATGATTAAATCCTTGTATGTAATAAATCGTTATAATCCATGAAATTATTTAATTCTCATCTGACTATAATCTTATTTAGTGCAATTAATTCGACCTTATCCCTTTAGTCGACCTTAAAATTAGAGCAATGCTACTTAGTATCACTGGTATTGTAGCATCACTGAAATTAGATAACATTATATTTAGCCCATGTTTGGATTCCATTAAAATTATAATTCATTCTCTATGTTCGTATCAATCACATTATTTAATAAAACAATATTACACGTAAACTCAAAATTTTTATTTATTTTTTAACCATATTTTCCAAAAAATTACTATGCTAAAATACATTTTTTTTCCCAAAATTTAATTAAAATGGAGGCCAAACAAAAATTTATACTTTATTTGATCCCCATTTTTTTCAAAATACATTTTTCTCTCTTCTTTTCAACAATACATTTTTTAATAAAATAATATTACACGAAATCCAAAAACTTTTCTTTCATTTTCAATCACAAATCTCCATCAATCTAATATTTCAAAATGAGTAATGTTTTCATCTCCTCTGTGATTACAAACTCAATTTAGGTGGCATTAATGTGGCACTAAATAATAGTATGAGTAATGTTTTCATCTCCACTGTGATTACAAACACAATTTAGGTGGCATTAATGTGGCACTAAATAATAGGTGAAATTAAATAAGATATTTAATTTCACATTTCATTTAACCGATCATTTAGAGCCATGTGTTTGTAATCTCACTGGGGATAAATAATATTACTCTTTCAAAATGCATTCCACACCAAAAATGGGGGCTCAAACAGTTAGACACTTAGACCACAAGATAAGGATTAATTTAATTCTATTTAATTTTTATCCGGCCATTTGGTGGAATTAATTCTTCAATTAAGTTAATTCAGGATTCTTATCCATTTAGTCAGTATTATAAAATTAATATGCGTTTAGTGCACTATATTAGACAACCAGGATTAATTTAAGGGAAAATTGCGGTCGTGGTCCCAAACCTTTCATTTTGTTGCAAATTACACCCAAATCTTTTATTTTTACGGCCGAAGTCCCAAACCTTTATATGTAGTTGCAGCGTCGGTCAACGTTTCAACAGTAATTTTGTATGAGTAATGTTTTCATCTCCACTGGGATTACAAACACAATCTATGTGGCGTTAATGTGACTTTAAATAATATGTGAAATTATATAGGTCATTTAATTTCACCTTTCATTTAATCGATCATTTAGAACCATGTGTTTGTAATCCCACTGGGGATAAATAATAGAGAAATCATTTAACCAATCATTTACATCCACATAGACTGGGGATGCATCCCCACTGGGGATGAATAGCATTTTTCTAAATAATATTACTCTTTCAAAATGCATTCTATACCAAAAATGGGGCTCAAACAATTAGACCACAAGATAAGGATTAATTTAATTCTATTTAATTTTTATCTGGGGCATTTGGTGGAATTAATTCTTCAATTAAGTTAATTCAGGATTCTTATCCATTTAGTCAGTATTATAAAATTAATATGCGTTTAGTGCACTATATTAGACAACCGAATAAGGATTAATTTAATATATGTACGATTCATATAGGTGTTTAATGCAATTAATATCTAGATTAAATTAATACATGGTGCTTATCCTCCTTTAACCATTGATATAATACGTTACATGATGGTGGATTTCGATAGGATTATTTATTTTACATTTTATAATTTTTTTTAATAATCGTGGGTGTCCGGACCAGCTTACTCACACCTCGACTAACCTTACAAGACCCTGAAGTTTACGGCCAGATACTCAACTCAATGGTCATGAGGGAACTTGAACTGGTGACCATTGGGGAGCAAACCCAAGGTCTCACTAATTGAACAACCCTTCAAGGTTTTATAAATTTATGAAAAATAGTTAAATTGAAACACATATATTTACTTACAAGTATATAAGACCTAAAAATTTCATGTATATGTAAAAAATAACTTATAACTAAAAAACTTTACTCATAAATAAAAATTAATTTCTAAGCAAAAAAATCAGTTATAAGTGAAAAACACTCATAAGAAGAACAAACATTCATTTCAAGTAGGAAACATTTTTTTGGGAGTTTTTAAGTAAAAAATTTAGTATAATTAAAACTAAGTAAATTGGAAACTCGAAAGAAATGAAGTTTCAATCGGGTATGAATCAACTACTTGCATTTCTTTAAAATCTTGAATGAATATTTAATATACTGTAAAGAAAGAAGGAACAGTAACAATTTCTACTCCCCAAGTTTCTGAATTACAATGTACGTATCTTTCACCATGAAGATTTAAGGGACACGAACAGAAAAGAAAAAGGAATCAAGACTACTCAAGTTGCAAGATAACAATGCAATGCAAGGCAGCCAATTAAACAAGAAAGGGTGTTTACCAGTTGAGCCATGTCATGGAAACTGGAAGGATCCTCCAATTTGATTATTGCCAGCCGGGGGGTTGATCGCAACCCAAAGGAGGGAAATGGTAATCGCAATAAGCCCCGACCAAACAAATACAATTGTTGGCGTCCTTCCTCTTCTTCCCATCAATCCTTTTGCAAAGGGATACAGATGTGCTAACACCCAGAAGCTAAAGAATACCCCTCCGATCAAACGGCTCCACTGTGGTATGGCACTATAGATTGTCCGGCTAAAACCAACTGCTATCGCGATCAAGTTAGTCATCATGATTGTAATAGGCGGTATCATCAAGGATGACCATTTTATAATGTAGAGATCGGTATAATCGTCATCATTATCATCACCAGCAGATTTTGATGTCAAGGTAAATGAGATTTCTATCCCGGCAATCACCTTCAGTAGCCCCTGGAGTACAGCAGCAAGATGAGCACTTGTGCCTCCAATCAACCAGAATTGCTCGTTTCGCCACCACTCTTCCAAAGCAATGCCTGACCATTTGATCTCGAGCACAGCCAACATGCAAAGGGTCAAGGTGATGACCAGGAGGTAGGTGAGGAATGTCACATTCAGAGTCTGGACAATAAATTGACCAGAAAAGAGCGACAGCGCAGGGAGGAAGCAGTAGACAATGAGAAACACAGAAGTGAAAGGATATATACCAACATTAAGGTAAGCAATTCTCTGTAGAAGCTTCATCTTGGGACTAGCCAGTAACGCATTATTTCGCGAGAAGAAGATCTCAACAGAACCAGTGGCCCACCGAAGGACTTGGTGAAGCCTGTCCGTTAGATTAATTGGTGCAGTGCCACGGAAAGCATCCCTTTTAGTGACACAATATATAGATCGCCAACCTCGATTGTGCATTCTATAACCAGTTACCACATCTTCCGTCACAGATCCATAAATCCACCCAACCCGATTGCCCCACTCAGTTTTATCTTCATACCAACAAGAGATGACGCTAATTGCTTCAGCAACAGTAGATGCATCGAGGAGTTCCCTAGGTATGGTTAGAGCACCGGGAGGTCGTCCATTCTTCACTGCAGGGTGATCTGCTAGTGGTCTGCCTTGGAATTCTGCCACCGGAATAGAATCAATAAGGAAACTTGAATTCCCGAATCTTTTAGAATAGAGAGAAGGATTCATTTGCTCATCATCAGAATCTCCCATTCTAAGTTCACGATGCTCATCAGGTGCAGAAGAAATAGAAACACCTTTCTTTGGACGTGGAAAACAGCAGCTGCAGCAGCCTGAGTGGTAATCTTTTGACCGTGGTGGATCAAAACCATAAAGGGCAGTCCTGCGAAAGAGGCACCCAGTGCCCACATAAACTGGACCCTGAAGCCCATCTAGAGCCCTCATGTTGACATCGAAGAAAACGGTATTGTGATTTGCGTAGCGGTCAGATGGATCTATTCCTTCGAATCTCTGAGGAAACTGGACGTAACAAATGCGGTCCCCACCCCGGTCCATCATAAAACACATGCCTTCTCTTACTGCCTCAGAGTTGTAGATGTAGTGATCACAGTCGAGGTTAAGTATGAAAGGGCCATTGGACATGATGGCTGAGGCTCGAACCAGTGCATTCATTGCCCCAGCCTTCTTATTGTGATCATATCCAGGTCGCTTTTCACGTGAAACATAGACAAGCATGGGAAGCCGAATGTCAACTTCGGTAAAATCAAGTGGACTATTGTCAACAGTTGTTCCGTGTAGAGGTTCATCACTTGGAGGTTTTAACATTACCTGCAGAGCAAGATTTCTAGTGAGCTAATCAACAGCATATAGCATAGCTTGTACTCTTAAAAATGCAACAAAGTGATAACGTGCTTTCAAACTGGCCAAATGACCAATCAAAGGGGCCTAAGTTGCCCCATAAAGCATCACTTTTACATATTCATAACATATAACGAGCCTTTCCACAATTTTTTTTTGAGGTGGCCTAGGTTAAAACATAGAAGATGCCAAACTGCAGATGATGCCACTAAAAGTAGACCTAGCCAAATTGTTCTACGGCAACTCCATTCGAAGAATAATTTGATTCATACTGTCTAATAAGATCATGTAAAAAAGTACAAATTGAGGCTACATGATAGACTCTGCAGATGGCAGTGACCCATGGTGCATCATTACACAACCATAAACATTGATCATCCAGAAGAAAGTCCAAGGACTTGAACAGTGAATAAATGGTAGGAGAAAGCACGTCAGTCCTCCAAATACCAATTAATGATTGGACAAACATGAAATAACCAGAATGCTTCGATAAATGGCAGCCGAAGGCTAAATTCATCTAAACACCAACTGCAATAAGCATAACTAAGAAAAGATGTCTAGGTTCTCTATCATAAGGGCAAAAAAGATCCAGATTAAGTTATTAAATGAGCTAATGCAAGTGGGTGATCAACTGCCAAAAGCCACACGTCAGTTCTCCTCAGTAAGAACATACCTGAATAATTCCTGCATGATCACCTCTAGAGTGCTCAGAACCAGAAACTACCCAAGTGCCAGGCCAGTGGGTTCCATCTGCCATCCATGTGGCTTTACGGACTTTCACCGGTTCCATTGGTTCATCCCCAGCAGTCTCTCTCTGAAGCTTCATGGCCTTTATTTCTTCACGTGCATTATACGCATCAGAACGACGACGAATTGAGTCAGGAAGCCCGTTGATTCGAACCTTGAATTCGTCATATTCACGTTTAACCCTTCTACGATCCTTGACAAAATCTGGGCGCATCTTATTCTTATAGGGATCCTTTTTCAGGCTGAAGTAAGATTCTGGATTTCTTGGTTCAATCTCATGTTTTCGGCAGAATGGTACCCACAAGTTTGCAAAACTTGCAGCTTCTGCCATGGCCTCAAATGTCAGAAGAGCACCTCCATCATCAGATACATAACATGAAAGCTTATCAACTGGGTAATCAGCAGCAAGGATAGAAAGAATAGTATTTGCAGTAACAAGTGGAGGTTCTTTTTCAGGATCAGCCGTAGAAACAAATATATCTATTCCTGGGAGATCAGATTTCCCGGTTGGATTGGCGGGACTGGGTGTTTCAAATTTTTCTTTCAACACATTAAGGTCAGTTGCACGATTAACAGGGCACAACTTCGGAAGCTGGTCAAGCAGCCAAGAGAATGCAAACCAAATCTCACAGATAACTGACATCAACCATAGCCATCTTGCGTCCTCATTGGGGTGGCTGATCCTCCATGCAAGAAATAGTCCAAGAACGGCCATACGGACTAAGATTAAGAGTCTACAAGATACATATTTATGAGACATAAAATGTTTATCAGGTTTTATCTTAGTATGTTATTTTTAAAGCTTATTCAAGTAAATAGTTCAATCATAGCTTGGAAGTTAAGGGAAAATTATTATTGAAAGATTGAAAAATGTAACATTTGTTGAAGAAAATAAATGGATACCAGCAACTTTCGTCAACCTTAAACAACAGCCACTACTGTTATAATACCCTTAGGGTACATCTAGTTACGAACTTATGGGGGAGGGGGGTTAATTCCACCAATACTAGGGCATGTAAACATGGAAAGGCTAGTTTCAAACAAACAAAAGACAGCTTTCCCAACTGTAATCCCAGTTTAAGACTCATCAATGATGCACATAGAAAACGATCAGCAACTGATCACACCCAACAGGGCATCCGTATACATTCTCGTGTCATACATAACTAAAGGGTGCAAACATCAGTTAATTAATAATATTACATGTGTCATACCATTACCGTGGAAGTTTTATGAAATTCAAAAATTAAGTTACAAAGATTAAGATGGTTGATATATTTTCTAGACAATGGAAAAAAAGACATCACCCAACCTAATTACCGCTCAATGGCATTTACTCTATTATATATGCTACATCCATGCAATCCAGTAAGGTCATAAACAAAGCGAGAAAGGGAAACAAACAGAAGTTGCATGCTTATTTTCCAAACTAGATACAATAATGTTAACTGGAAAAGTGTGACCAATATAATTTCTGGGATTTCAAATAAAGGAGAAACATAAAGGAAAATAACAATCATAGAAACATTAACGAAAACAATAGCAAATACGAATTTACCTGTATGGACTGAGTATCGCTGCTGGTATCTTCAATTTGCGGGTGAGTGGCCTCCAAGGCTTGTTGAGAAGTTCAGGAGGCTCACCAGCTTCATCATTTTTATCATTTGCAAACCCTCCATCATTCGGCCATATAGCATTGCCATACCCATAAGTCCCCTTGGTCTCAAACAACCATCTGTTATGATCAAAATCCACCCCTGTTTGGCTCCTCTTCAGCCCCGACTGACTCCTTATTAGCGCTGACCGGTTGGCTGATTTCATCAATGACAACCTCCTCTCCATCTTTGACATCCCAACATTTGATGGAAGAGGCAAAGGCCGACCAGGATCCACATCATTTGCAGTCAAATCCGTATTCTTATAAGGCTCTTTACAACCTGGACAGATCCCATCACCAGTTTTCACAGCATCAACATAACAATCCCTACATATCTTAAAATCACATTCACAAGGGAGAATATCTTCACCCCTCTCATCCCTCATGACTTTTCCATCACAACCAGGGACTGCACATAAAGAACCTTTGGCACCAGCCATCTGGGGATGGCTGGTCTCAGACTCGATCACCTTGTCCATCAAGTGGGCACGGGTTACACTGTTATACCCACCAGTAAACAAAGAACTTGATACATACTGCTCTTCCACCCTCTGGGACATTGAAGGGTCCATGGGCTGATTATCGGGTGTTGGTGGTATTTGCACCGTGTAGTTTGAGAATTCAATACCACTAATCTCACTATCAAGGCTATCCCTTGACAAATTGACATAACGACCCGATGATGTTCTCCTTGCGAAGGTCACACCGGGAGGAATTGAGCCCCTCCCAGTTTGTGATTCTGAAGTTCTGTATGATTTTGCAGCCATTCTACCAAAATTTGCACCAGCTAATTATATACTCGTCACCAAAACCTGAAACTTCATAGAGAGTTGAAGAAATTTAAAGAAAGAAGTCCATTAGCTAAGATTCACAAGGTAGAAATGTGTTTAAAATAAACAATCAAAATTCAGATCTCAAAATCTCTTTTTCAACTGTGTTTTTTCCTCACTTTTCATCTTTATCTGCAAAGAAACATTGCTCTAAATAAAATATTGATTACCCAAAAAAGATGAATTTGAAAAAAATAAAATAAAAAGGAAGAAGGAGAGGGAGAGGGAGAAAAAAACAATATTCTGATAGATCAAAACCATTTCTTTTCCAGTAAAGTCACTCATTTTCTCTTCTTTCAGAAAAAAACAAATAACAGCTTCTTTTGAGGTTGAGGTCAACATTACTATCTTGTTCCCACCAAAACACACAAAGTGTAGTTTAAAAAATCATAAGAACACACCAAAAACAAAATACCTATAATCTGGAGAAACAGGAGTAAAGATTAATACTTTGATACAACATTTCCCAGAAAGAACCTAAGCTTCACAGAAATTAAACGGAACCCTGTTGGGTTCTTCGTATCGATTCAGAAGTTTTTGTAAAAGTTCCTACAAACCCAACACAGACAACCGGAGACTTCTTCAAACACAAAACTTACATCATGAACTTTTAAAAAGTCGAATAAATACGTAGATGGATAAATGGATATATCACCTCAGTGGACTACACTCTTGTAGCATTAAAAATAGAATAATAAAAGGAAAATAAATAGACGACCTCCATAGACAAGACGTGTAAGAAACATTCAAAAGAATACTATATTTTTCAAATGCGTGTTACTTTTCACTCAGATCAATTAGTACCATACTATATCAAAATAAAGTTCAAATACAAGAAATATCAAACTTTAACAAACCTTTCATGGTCCACATACGAAGTCAATTATGACTCAGTCCTCCATTTTTTTTTTCAAACTTAAAATAATAAAACCAGTTCAAATTCTACTAACCCTCTCCCTTCTCTATTTTCAAAATTTCAAAAGTTGCTGTCATAATACTTAACAATTCAGAGAGAGAGGGAGCAGAAATTGGGTACCACAGTAGATAGACCAACTCCACACAACAAACCAAGAAAAAGAGAGAAGAAAAAATGCACTACTTTTCACACATCCCAATGCAGTCTGACCGGCTATTCTCTATCCTTCATCAAAACACGAACAATAAAATTCGTACACAGATCTTTACATAAAACTCTTAACATTAAACTGGTTAAAAATGAAAGATCTGAATCTAACAAAACTGAGTCAAATGTTTAAATTGCTATACCTTGGTTATGTGGAAGAAAATGTACGTTTGTGGTGACTTGAAGAAAAACCAGAAGAGCTGTTTAACAATGGGAATTATGAATCATTGTGCTGCTAAAGATGCTGCATTTTGATTTCAATTTTGTTGTGGGTAAAGAAAAAGGGTGAGTGAGAGAGAAGGCTAGGAGCAGACAACGAAATTTAGGGGATATGAAAGAGAGTGCACTTTTTCGAGGATTTAGTAGGTCGGCATGTGCAAGGTCGGAAGCTTTTTTTGTACGGTACAAGAAAATGTTTTTAATTTTCTTTCAAAGATAAATTTCATGAGAAAACACTATAGTCTATAGGTAGTCACAAATAATTTTAACAAAATATTGAAAATTTAAAAGCAAGCTCATTCAGCTCGTGTTTCTATTTCCCTTTGATATATAACAATTATATGAATCATGGATATTTCGATTCTTTCTATAATAAATTTTACAATTGTGACGAACTTAGAATGTGTTTGGTAGGGATTAAAATTGAAAAATTAGCCGTTATTGTTGACTTTTATTAGACGAGTGAGGTCCAATAACGACTATATTTTCAATTTTAATCGGATTTTAATTTATCTCAAACAAGCTCTTAATAATCACAGTTGTCAACGTAACACCATATGTCATGTTATGTTAGTAGATCACGTCAACCTTCAAGAATCATCAACTTGATTAATATATGTAGCCCTCGTTTGGGCATCTTATTTTCTCATTAAAATGAAAAATATGACCGTCATCCATCACATCAACATTTAAATTCAAATTTTCAATCTCTTGTGTGGGCCCCAATAACGACTATATTTTTCATTCTCATTCTACAAAAAAGTGGCTTAAACAAGGCCATAATGTGTGTGTATAATTTCCAGTACTCAATGTAAACTCTAGATTGTATAAACATTCATTTATACAGCAAGTGAAATATGATGCATACTATGATTTCAATTACTAACTTTTAGGGCATGCTGCCTGAAGTAAGCGAGTGAAATACCGTCAACTTTGACATCCATTGTAGTGTTTGATGTGTGGTAGGAAAAAGAAAGACATGATGAACATTCATTGTTCTCATGACCATATAACTAAAATACAATAGTGGATCGACGTATAATTTTAATTTTCCATCACAATATACAGAGTAAAACTATTGTTACATTTTTCAAAAATTCTAATCGAATGAATTGCCCTGACAAGGGTAAAATACATCACCATTCTCACTTTTCTAGCTATCCCACAAAAGAAGACTAGCAAATTATAACCATAGCCAAATCTTGTTTTCGTCCTTTTAAAAATATTTTCATCAACTCTTTCTACATGGTCATCATTCAGAATACAGTGCATTTTGTTAGAGGATTTTGTCCTGAAGATTCGTTAGCAATGTGGATGCTAGGGACCCTATTTTCTTCCCAGTTTCTCCTGCAATATTCTTAAGAGATGACATATCTTGTTGTGCCTGGTAAGAATTAGAACCAGAAACAAGAAGTTAATATTCAATACTAACATCAGCGAAAAATAAATGGTAAGATCCCAAAAAAAGATTAATTAGTGAGGAAAATATGCCCAACTTATATGCTCTATAAAGAAAACATAAACAAAAAATAAAATAAAAAAAATCTCGTATTCCTGGTGATATGTGTTTTGACATGCTTATTAGAAGCCTAAAACGAGTTAAATATTGATGAAATGGATGAATTTCTACTCACAATCGTGTAGATATTATCTTTGCAGATAAAAATCCTCAATTAAAATAGAACAATACAAAAGAAGAGAAAAATGATTGAAAGTGCACAAAATATGAACTTGGGGACCAAAGTGTGGAAGTATCGAAAGTTGAACGACGTTGGATGTAAATTCTTGAGGGTAGTGTTGAAAGAGAAGTCAAAATGTGGAAACCAAAATGTACGAAATCAAAGTTAGGGGGGACCTTTCACACAAATACTGGAGTACTAAAAGCCGAATTTTGGGGCACACCATGCATACACGCCCATGTATGTGCACACACATGGGGCATAGCGGCCCATGCGCAAGGTTCAATCGGGGGCAAAAAAATTCTGCCTCTTGGTTAATTCGAATTTTCTTAGGAGCATTTTGAGGAATATGGTAAGTTTTTTAGAGTTTTTAAAGATCCAAAAGTGAGATGAAAGTCAATTCATTACTCCCTTCATTCAATACAAACTAGGGCAAAGAGAAGTCGAAACGGAGGGAAAAATTTAAGAAAAGTTGGAGAGATTTTGGTGAAAAATTAAGACCAAGCCAATCTTCATTTCAAGAATCTAACCATTATTTTCTAACCAAAGGATGAGTTCTACATTTTGCCCATGTTTGTTTCACCTCTTTTTGCTCATTTTAGAAGAATGAGGGCTGTTGCACAGTGCTACAACCACCATTGTTGACTTGTTTCTCTCTTGGTGGGCTCAAAACTTTGAATATAACGGTAACAATTCTCATTTTTATGCTGAAATGATGAGAAACAAACAGACAGGTTTGTCTTGTATTTTATTCATTATTTTCTCTAACTTGTAATGTATCTTTACAGCTCTTCTCCTTTTTGTCATTTATATAATGAACTAAACTTTTGATATTGGGATAATTGATGTAGCTTAATGTAACTTGATTATTTTCAATATTTGCTCTTTAATGTTAAAGTAATAATTTTTATGTATATTTACTATTATATTTAATAATTTTCACTTAGTTGGCAATTAAATGATTGTGTTGAGTGGTTTTATATCGAAAATATTCACAATGTTGTTAATCTCCTTGTTGAGCAATTTAAAGTAGAGCAATGATATATGTACATAATGTGATGAATTATTCTAGTTGTACATTAAGAATTGTACATGAGGGTCTACACCCCCCTCACATGAGGGGTGAGACCCATTGAAATAATATTTTTTTATTCGAGCGGGTCCCACCCCCCATGTGAGAGGGGTGTAGACCCTTATGTATGGAGTGATGTACCCCTAGCAATGCTCTAATAGGATGAGTTTCATCCCATGTGAGAGTTATGTACACCATTATGTACAACAAAAATAATCTTTTAAATTATTCTTTCACGGTTTCCACCGCCCCTGCCAAATATCATTTAGGTGTGATGCTAGCCATGTTATTGATGAACGGATTAGTGAACCCATTCTTTAGCTGGGGCCTGGCACCACTTCGTTATACCAGCACTTTACATAGGAGGTGATAGTAGTATGAAACTTTCTACACTTCACGGCGTTTGCCCGTATAACTTTGTTTTCTATTAAACTTTTCACATGGTTAAAGAGGTCACCCTGTTCAGAAAATTTGTCATTTTTGGCATCTTAAAGTCCTTCGATATCGGTTTATCTCTAATGTCCTTTGGAACCAGGAGGTTCTCGTCATTGTTATCCAGGTCACAAGAACGCACCAACCATTCATTGTCGAATTTTTGGATACAAGCGTGGGGTTCCTTGTCTGACAATCTTTGTTGTTCCATCCATGGTGACTACTAGGATTGCCAATGGGTCCCTTAGTGAGTTTTCGCTCCTACAAGCTTGTAAAAGATATTAACAAACCTTGCGAGTTTCCATTCTAGGCAATTGCGGGATAGATCATACTGTAAGTGTTATGCCCTAAATCCAATTAATTGTGAACATAAACACTTTTAACATATAATTTGATGCATATTTTTTATGGT